GTGTGTGTGTGTGTGTGTGTGTGTGTGTGTGTGTGTGTGTGTGTGGAGGTGGACTCACTAATGAGGATTGAGAATAGATTTATAATCAGCCTTCTGTTCTTATCTGCTTACCCTCTCCTACACAGGTTTCATAATTGTATGTTTTGTTGCTCCATTTTTAAATGAAGAGGAAAACAAAGCAACCTTATGTCTTCTCAAACTATGAAGCTGATATTATTATAATAGCAGTTAGATTTGACCCATAGAAAAAATTCCGGAGGTCGAATTATGAAGAAAAAAATTGTTTAAGGCTGAAGTTTGTATTTTTATTTTGGGTCTTTCCCAAAGTTTTATCTAAATACATATGAAAAACTTTTTGAGTATTAATACTAACAAAAAATGTAAAACTAAACTAACTAACAAAGTGTCATGAAGCAAAAAACTAAATCAAACAGAAATGACTAAAAAAGATTTGGATCATTTAAAGTTTTTATAGGCCAGTCAGTTGCTGACCTTTAGAAAGTCATTATCTAAGCATTAAGTTTTGATGCTCTCACCACTGTGTTGCTATTTATTGAACCCAGACAGCTCCATTTTTAGATATTTCATAGAGAAAACCAACATGAAGGACCTGCAGTTGTGACAGGACACATGCTGTGTCCCTTCACGTTGCAAATATCAGATCTTTTAAAGAAACACTGCAAAGCTGGATGTTTGTTTTTACCCTGCTCAAACAGAGATAACTCTCTGGTGCAGACAGGGACAACAGTTAATCAATAAAAGAAAGTAGCGGACCTGTTTTTTATTTTTTATTTTTATATTTTAAAGAGTAATTATTAAAAACAAGCTAATCAGTGATAGCCTCATGCAAAACTTGAATTATTATTTGTTGAAGTTGGGTTTATCGCTCTTTAGCTCAATGTTCCTGTGAATGTTTTTTTCAATATTTTATTCCAAAATCCGACATGATAAATAAAAAATAAAAAGTTGTACCTTTATGCTGTAGCTATAATTTTATTGAGCTGTGAAAAATATATATTTTGTAACATCTCTTCCATGTGAGTCTAAATGAAGGATTTACAAATCAACTGTTTGTATGATTATTAAAATCTGACCTGTTAAAGGATGAAGGCGCTGATACAGTTACCTGTAATGGTGGGCAAGTCTGGTCCTCAAGGGCAGCTATCCTGAATTTTTCAGTAGTTTCTCTGTTCCAACACACATGATTTGAATGAATAGGTGATTACCAAGCTTCTGAAGAATTTAAAGAGAAGGGAAACGTAAATCCTGCAGGATAGTGGCCCTCAAGGACCAGGATTGCCCACCTGTGCTCTAATCATTTTGTAGAAACATTTATTTGAAGCGGTGTCGCTGTTCCAACTCTGTGCCAGCATTGCTTCAGTATTTAGACGGATGCATTTTGATTCAAGTGAATAAGATTTAGAGCTTCTGACACTGTTTTCACTGCAGGAAGTCAGTATTAGGTGCAACTTGTTGCCCATTTTTCTGTCACCCAAGAACATTGACTGCTTCAAGAGGCTTGTTGTGTTGTTCTTCATGCTTTATCACTTAGAGGGGCAATATCATGTAAAATCAACTTTGAGTTTTTTATCACGTTATAATGTTATACTCTCATAAAAGATATGCCCAAAGCCTTGCTTTGACTCATTCTTGCATGTTTGAGAAATCCTGCAGTGTTTTTAGGCCATGCTGAGGAGCAAAACGACAGGTGGGGACCAGAAACACCTTTTGGTACCAGAAACGCCCCTGGGACGAGTCTTTAAGCCGAACTTCCTCATGGTGGAGCACCCCCCCCCAACACACACACACACACACACCGCCCATGACCCCTGCAGGCTCCCAAACAACGGGTGAAACTGAAAGTGAAACTTAAACTGTCTGCTGAGCTCCTAACATTACTTCTCACTCAGTGAAGCTCTTTTCAGATTCAAAATACCTTTGAGGAAATGTATTTTTGGATGCCAAGTAAACTACATCATAGCGCACCCCCCCACACACACACACACACACACACACGCTGAAATGGGCGGGACAGAAGCAGAAGGTGGTTCTTAAAGAGGCAGAGGTCAATTTCAAGGCGTTTGGATGTGGAAGTGATGAGAAGATAAGTTTATTTTCTATTTCAACATATAAACAGCATTTTAATAACAGCTAAAGGTGACATAGACACTTTATTATGGTATAGTATTTAAATGTATGCCTGAGAAACACATAATATTGCCCCTTTAATGCTCTGCAGCTTCCTATCTGAGGGGAGCGGGACAAAAAGTGTGTGTGCGGGGTGAGTGGGGTCCTCCATGATGCAGGTGGTCCTCTTCCTGCATCTGGAGTTGTAAATGTTCACGATGGTGGAGAGGCTGATGGTTCTCTGTACAGCCATAAAATGCAGTTGCTGGTGTCCAGAATGGATCAGACTCTTTTGGGCTGTTCGTCCCGGCACATCGTGTACCTGGCACCTAAATGACCCGTTTTCTGTCTGTATTTTTCTACAGAGCGGCAGAGCAGCAGAGAACTTTGACAAGTTCTTCACCCGCACCCAGCCTCAGCTCACGCCACCCGATGAGCTGGTTATAGCCAACATCGACCAGGCTGAGTTTGCAGGGTTCTCCTTCATCAACCCGCAGTTTGTACACCCGCAGGCCAACAACTATGTATGAGGAGGATGGTCAAACGCCCAAAGATGCTCCCTGTTTACCACCACCCACTTCAACGGACCGTCAACGTCTGACTAGAGCTTCAAATCCCTCAAAATATCCTAATGTGTTCATGTAAGTCCTAAGCAGGAGACAAGGGCATGCGTATTTGCTTTGTACAATATTTTCGCCAATATAAATTGATAGATTAATTTGGTTCATAGTCAAGACAAAATGTCCCCTAATAGTGATGATCAGGCACTCTAGGATGTGTCTCTGCAGGCATTAGCACAGAACAATGCCAGGCTTTATTAATAATCTATGCCAATATATGAAATAAAGGATAAAATAGTCTGTTTACAAACCTCTGTGGATAAACGTGCTTTCAGTAGATCTAACTGGCGAGAAACAGTTTCTGTCAGTAACCCAAACACGTCTGAAGCAGTGTGTAGACACTATAGCCAAATGCATGAAGGACAGGTGGTGCAGGCATTGAAACAGCACTTTTTATTGATTCAACATTTCCTGTATCTTGTTTACAGCTTTCTTCTTGTTCCATTTCATTGTGACGGTGTACCAGTAAATTCTTTTGAGTATAAAATTTGTTTTAACCAGTCTCAGCTCCTCTGTGTGTAGCAAATTGACAAAAGCAACAAATAGGTGAACATGTACATCCTGTGAAAACAAAAAAAGGAGAAATATTTATTATGACTGGCATTAATTCCAGGTTTTAAAACTTAGCTTAGCTTTAAGTGCTAAATAGGATCATTTCGTGCTCTTATTGAGCCGTTACAGTGCCCATCCAGTGACACTGGATAAAAGATTTTTTAGCTTGCGGCCACGCGATAATAATGCATGGTCATGAGATAATAATGTGTAGCCATGAGATCATTATAAGCAGCGTGTCTCTTTGTGAGAGAGAGGCTACGGATTTTGAAAATGTCCAAGTGTTCAACTGTACAAAGGTAGCCTACACCACACTTATTAATAATATTATTGTTTGGCATATGTTAATATAAATGGTTCATTTTTCACAGTAGGCTATTTATGAGATGACAATGAATGCCCAGATGTGTGTCAGGAAACAGATATTTTACTGTGTTCCTGAACGCAACAAAACTCTGACTCCTTCCACAGCAAAAGCTCGGTGTGAGAGAGGAAACTGTTTTGAGCTTCAAAAAGAAAAAAGAAAAAAAGAAAATAAAGCTTTTTGGACAAAGATAACTCCATTCGTCACCTGTGTCTTATAGCTGCAACACATAATGTCAAGAATTACTTCATGTCTAGCATAGCTGACTGAAGTATCATTCATTTGTAGTAGTCATTCATTCCAATATTAAAATAAAGTGAAATTAATTTCAAACTTGTCCATCAGCAGTCTCTGTATGGAAATGACTCCAATAATTATCACATGGCCACACTTTATTTATCGCATGGTCACAGGATAAATTAGTTTTTATCCAGTTTCACCGGACAGTTTCCACACAAAACTGTACAATTCAGTAACCTTTGTGGACTTGCGTTCAGTTTTGTGTTCGATCAGCATCAGAGCATGCTCCTATTTGCGATCAAATTAATTAACCTAAAGAGTTTACAGCTTTCTGTGTTTAAACACTAGTTAGTTTTAATCGTTTCTGGCTACACTGATAAGTACAGAGCCTCTCGCTCTCCGTAAATGTTTTAAAGGGATCTGTGAGGACTTGTTGTCTCATTTGAAGCTGTTTTGTATTAATCACGCAATGTTTTATTGCACACAGTATCCGCTTAAGGTTTGGTTAAAAAAAAAACAACCACATTTGTCAGTTGTGTTTTACTCAGAGTTGCTTTTCTGTCTCAAAAAAAAAACGTGTTAAAGTCAACATAATTGTTGTTAATTGATTCATGTTACCCCTGCTTCATTCTTTATGTTTAAAAAAACCTTTGATTATTTTTTCCCCTTTTCTGTGAGTTTTTATCACATTTACAGCAAATTTAATATTTTTTCTTAATAAATAATCATCACGTAACTGTTTTTGTAAATACTTATGGATTATTTTTAATTATACCAAGCTGCATTTTTTTTATCAGTACATACACATGCTTTTATTACAATAAGTAAATAAACCAATAATAATAGTATGTTGTATAAAGAGCTTAACTCAGTTCACATCACCTTTGTAACAGCTGGATGTCTCAACTAGAGTCCAGATCGAAGAAACTGGAAAAATGATGTTTTCCTTGTTTTGTCAAATTGAGCAAAAGTGTTCTTTTCCCTTTTTTTTAAAAAAAAAGTGTATTTGTAATGTTGACTGGATGCGTTTGTAGTTGTTAACTGTCCTTGTGTGTCTGCATGCTATTTGTAGGCATTGTTCATGCATGTGATCTGGTCAGTGCTGCATGCAGTGTAGCATGAAAGTCCAATGATTTACAGTGTCAGAACCATCAAATCTAACATCCAACAGAAGACGCTCCCTGTATTTCTAGCAGTGGATAAACACTGATTAGGTTGATGCAGAAAGGAAAAACAAAAAAAACATGTCAAAATGTTCCTAACATGTTTTAAACTGTTCCTGATTTATAAGTCCCTCACTCTGTCTGGATCTTGAGTTTTACTTCAAACCCATGAAAGCCAGTTCTGCTGGAATGACAAGAGGTTTATTAACTGGATGTGGGCCAGGTCTGGCAATAATCGCATTTTTTTTAAGATGGAAAGTTATGACTGGCCTGGTTGTAGTTTAGTTAATGTGGTGCTTGCTCATGATCGGACCACCTCTGATAAACCACACCTGAGTCACCAAAAGAATGCCATTCTTTGAAGTACATGGGTTAAGTGTATTATGTGGGCCAGAACTGGGCCAAACAAATATGACTATGTGTGGCTCCTTTTAGTAAATTTTTAAGAAAAAAAAGACATCTCTATACTCATACACATTTAATTTTGGTTACACATGATTTTTTTTCATACAACTTCTTGGAGTATTATGAAACAATGGGAGTTATAAAAATAGCTTGTAATATAAGGATGAGCCAGTACCTGTTAGTTATCCTGACTGAGCTGATCTGAAACCAGCTCAGCTGTTGGGATGCTCAGTCATGTGGGTTAGCTATGTGTGTTAGCAGCAGAAACATTGCCAAAATGCTTAACAATGCTGATTCTTAGGGGTTATAGATTTTGGGAGATGACACATGTTGATCAGTGATGTTTTCTTTGCAACACAATACGGCTCCAGGTTCCTTCAGTCTTTTATTTAGAAAATTATAAGCAATTGGATCATTGAAATCTGATCAAGTCTCACAAATAATATGTATTTATAAAAAATAATAATAATAATTCAGGGATTTTCTGTCTTTTCAGTCTTTTGCCCATGACATTTACTATGTTTACAAAAACATCTATCACTTAAGCAAATCCTATCAATAAATGCTGTTATTTGTTTTGTATATATATTCAAAACTGTCCTCTCTCCTTGTGTTTTCTCATCTCCATAACCTTCAGCATGTGCCAAACTTGGAGAACACCTGAATCTAAGAAAGCATTGCATCTGCCGTTTAGCCACAATGATCATATGGCAGCTTCTCCTGTTGGCCACAAAACAAACAAACAAACAAACAAACAAAGAAACAGTAGCATGTTGCCAGTGGTGGACTTTGTTATACCTTATTGGTAAACTGGTGCATGATACGTCTGTGTAATTAAAAGTGCCAGTGACTCTGGAAGTTGAGTTACTTTTTATATTTTCTTTTCCTCCCTTAGATCTAGGAGGAAATATGTCTGAAACATTGAAGAGAAACTTGTGAAACATTCATTTTAACATCTGCAGTGAATGACACAGACTTTAGATAAAACATTAATTGTTCGTACTAAGTTGCTTTTTTTCCCCAACAACAGCTTTCACTGAACCCGAGATTAGTACTTCAGCCGGATCCCTTTAATAGAAAGTAAATAGACTTGTTGTATTTAAGCTGTGAAGTCACAGATGGTGCAACCATAACAAGTAATAGTCTTTCCCTCTGTGCCTTTTCCGCCTTGTTCAAATGTGCTGTACGTTTCCTTTGTATTAGTAATTTTCTTACATACAATACATACAATACAATTCCACATTTACTATGTATTCTTAAAATAACTTTTCAGTTAACTCTTTTACTCTCATTATTTTTATCCTAGGCGTGTCTTATGACCTCTTACAAGTCACGTGAATGTCATTTTTAAAGGTTCTGAGAAATTAAATATGAAAACAAAGTGTTAATTTCAGACAAAAAAAGAAATGTTTTATAGTTTCTAAACAAAGAACTGGTTTTATCTGTGTCTGTTTGCTTTACCTTTACCTCCCTGTGCCTATCACTGCCTGAATGATGTGCTTAAAGCAGTCATACGTGTTTTAGCCATGTGTTAAAAATATTTGGTGATGGCAGCTTTGAAGGGACAATAAGTAGACGATTAGAGGATTCTGGGAAAAGAATGTTGAGAGGAATGATGATGTTGTTTGGAAGAACCCTCCACCCCCTCGTGCCTCGTCACACTGATCCCTCCCTTCATCCTTGGTGCCTGAGCCGAGTCAATCCATCACTTTATCAATAGTTTCCCCCCTTTTATTATTATTATTTTTTGTGACAGTCAAATCTCAGACCAGGAATGCAGTCAAGTCCCTTTGTGTTAATTCTTTCTTATTTGTTAGGTTCTACTAAAGGAGAGGAATTTACCTTTTATTAATTTTATTTTGGTTTTTGATCCTTTTTATTTCAGTCACCAGGAACTATCAAGTATTTAACATAACGATAAATCTAACATTTGAAATGGGTTTTCTTCTAAAATAATTTTTTTTGCCATTTTTTCTTTCTTTAAATCAGTGAGGTGTATGTTATGTTTTTTTTTCTTGTTAGTTAATGAATGCTTTGTTCTAACAGTTGAAACTGACTGCCGTCCTCATGGACACACAGAGCACATAATCAGTGATGTGCAAGAATGCCTTACATACCTGAACCCACAGAGTAACATGTTCTCTCTGACTCCTTTGTGTTTTGTTCTAATCACTGCAGCCCCTGTCCCTGTACAGACATCACGTACACCACATCCACAGACTGTAAACGACAGAACATGTTGTATTTTGCAAATGACGTATGTTTATTTTTCCTTAGCCTGAAACCTTTAAAATGAGTCTCAGCTCCTTAACCTTGTAATTGATTGTGTCATTTGTACCTAATGTATGATACTGCAAATAAAGAAGAGGCTAAATGAGCTCCATGCCTGTGATGTTTTTTATGTCTCGAGTGCATCATTGAAAACATGGATCTTCCTTTAGTTTTTGTATCAGCTTAGTGTTTTTAAACAGTATGTTGTGTACCTGTGCATAAAGCTTAGAGTTTGTGTTGCTTTCATTGATCATGTGCATTCTGGGCCTTTCCACTGTCATCAGTAATTTTCTGTACCAGCAAGTAACGGTTTACCAATAATGGACACTACTACACAATAAATACATAGGTAGTATGAATCAATGTATTTTTAATTGTGAACTACAATACTACAATGATTAGCTTCACAGGTGCATGAGCAACAAATAATGCAAAGAGCCAGGTTAAATGAGTTTAATACAATTTTTGATCCAGGCTGCCAAGTCCTTCCAACCTCTTTACCTGGGGGGAAAGAGGAAGACACCAGCATGCCCTCTGTGAGTGGAGAGGAACCCTGGAGAACATCCTCAGCTACAGTCCAAAAGTAAAAAGTACTGGTTTTAAAACTACTTAAAGTATAAAAGTTAAAGTGTATTTTTATTTGACTAGTTTATTCCCCTCACACATACGCCCTGAAATGATCAGAGAGAAGGATGGTTTAGAATTTTAGGATGTTCAGCTTTTTGTGCGTTGGTTTTGATCATATCCTAAAATAAAAATGTCACCGTGTATCTAAGATTTCCATATGCCTCCAGCAAAATGTACTCATAGGATTAAGCTGGAGGCATATCCAGGGCTTTCACCTCAACAAGAAGTCAAGTATATATGAAGCAGAGCCTATAGCTCAGTTAATTAAAAGCACAAACTTTCTGTGAGCGTTAGCTCGGCTGTATAATGCAAACACTAAAAAAACAAGGTTTCTTTTGTTATAACAAAACTGCACTCCTGACTTATTGAAGCTGTTTCTGTTAGTTTCCCATCCAGATGATGGCCTGGAACAGACCAAGGAGAACCGTCCATGCTGTCCTTCACTGGGCACAGCGAGCAGTCAGTAAGTCACCAAGAAGCAAAAATCCATTTTTTTCCTTATTTCTATTGATTACTGAACCACTCCCACTAATTTTCTTTCACCTTGATGTCTGCATCATTTTGGATACTTAAATTCAGTCTGAGAGTCTTCAGAAATCACCTGATTGACTCCATCTGTCTCACTGCTTGCTTAAACGAGGACACGTAATTAGAGCTCATTTCTGGCAGGAGGCCATTAGGTGCTGTCTGAGTGGTAAGATGGGGTTAGTGACATTTTACAACAACTAAATATTGTGTTGAAGCTGTTTATTTGAACCAGTGACCACAGCCGAGATAAACAGAAGACGTTGGAGATGGAGAGTTTAGATTTATATGTTTGTGGCAGCTCCAGCAGGATTAGGTTGGTACCAAGAAAAAAAAAAACAAGTAAAGAATCTGTATGTCTAGGATCATGAGGTCACCAATAAAATACAGCTGGTCACCCTAAATCAGAATTGCCCAAAGTGGGGCCCGTGGGCTAAAATTGGCCTGCCAAGCCATTTGATTTGGCCCACCAGCAGTTGTCCTGGCTAATAGGTTGTAATCTCCTGTCTTATGTAGAAACGCTATATTTCCACTTAATCTTTTCAACCATTGGTCCAACTATATAAAATATAACGCAGCAGTTTTAACTCATGTT